TATAAAGCTGAGTGTCTTTATGTATATAGCTCTAAATCAATGAATAAGGTGGCAGACGTACATGACATTGCTGTGGTATTATAGTTTATATTCACTCGCGAGAAAAAAAAAAATATATATATATATTTCAATATTTAAGAAATTTTATTAAATATTTAAGTAAAATAAAACTTAAATATTAAATATTAAATATAACTTAAATATTTAAATAAAATAAACTATATAACGTCTATTTAATTCGGTTTTAATATTACTTGCGGTAACATACAAAAATTATCTATAAATATGTGAATGTTTTGTTAAATAAATATAATTATATTATTTGTACAATATCTCTCTCTTTCCATGAAATATAATTCTTCCTCTAAGAAAATGTTGACGATCTTGTGTTTACGGAAAATCCTATAAAGTAGGAACAATATCAGAAATTGCCGGAATTTCTTCCAGAAAGTTCCCCGATATCTCTTTTTCTGTGCTGGTTTTATTTTAAGCTATATTTAATGAGGTTAAAAAATACTGAAAATTGTTGAATAGACTTGTATAAGAAGTCCTAATTTCTTTATTACATATTGTGTATGTACCACACAGCAGAAATATCCAAATTACATCATAGGAATATCCTAAAGATACTACTGTTTAAATTCAATCAAGTTGGTCAATTTTTATTAAAAGCATGTTAAAGTGCAAAAACTACATTTCAGAATATATGAATACGCAGAATACTGATGGAAACTGAAAAATTAATTTTTTCTTGCATTTTTCGCAAATTAAACTATGAGATCTTGGGATCGACCGCACCGATCTTAATCAGATCAGAATTGCAATTAAAAGTTTGTATCAACATTACATCGACGAACGTTCTGTTACATGTGTTATTAGAATTTTCTTTTCTGAGATATCTTCATCGAAAATTTCATTGACGTGAGAACGCTTTCATCGTGAACACAGTTACATTCAATATATCATCAATTTAATATATCATCATTTTATTTATATATATTTGGCATCTACCGTGCCACTTGACCGCTGAATACATTCAAGAGAGATCAACAGTTGACATAGATTTTCTGATTTATAAGGTTAATTAGAAAAATGATGAAAATGTATAATCATATTTCAGCTAGACCAATATGCAAAAACAATAGATGAATTAGTTACCTGTTATGTACTAATTGATACACACACATACACACACACACGAAGCTTCTGAAATACTTTTCATATTTTATATAGCATCCAGATAGACATATTTCAGTATGTTGTCTGCATCGTGGCTGACATGAATATGTTAACACGTCAAGCGCCATTAGTGGCTCACATTGGACTTCCCGTTCAGGCTACATAACGCATATTTTACTTTTTACTTTTATCTCCTGGGAAAAAAGATCATATATGAAATTTGCTGATATATGACTATATATGACTATATATGACTATATATCAGCAAATTTCATATATGATCTTTTTTCCCGGGAGATAAAGGTAAAAAGTAAAATAGTCATATATCAGCAAATTTCATATATGATCTTTTTTCCTTTTTACTTTTTACCTTTATCTCCCGGGAAAAAAGATCATATATAAAATTTGCTGATATATAGTCATATATAGTCATATATAGTCATATATCAGCAAATTTCATATATGATCTTTTTTCCCGGGAGATAAAGGTAAAAAGTAAAATATAATCATATATGTCCACGACGAAAAAATACTATTATTTAAAAATCATATGTAATTACAATCGAAGTAAATGCTTCTGGCTATTTGTGCTTCTGACAGCATATGATATCGATATATTAAATGACACAACATCATATTTTTCGTATGGACATATATGATCATATATGTGACCACATAGTAAGTAGTAAATATATAAATATAATAGTATGTGAAAGGAATATAAAAAAAAATATATATAATAGATCATCTTATGCCGTGAAAATTGCAGCAATATTGCGGTGCTATTCTGACGCCATAAATATTGGTTGCGTTCAGTAGAGAAAGCAGCTTAGCAATTGTAAAATTCGTGAATCTGATTGGTGTATGCTCTTAAACTCAACCAAGATTAAGAGCACACACCAATCAGATTCATGAATTTTACAGTTGCAAAACTGTTTTCCTTGTTGAAGGTAGTTAAAATATAAATATACGTTACACGTTATGCAAAATTCATTCAGCATATTAGAATTCAGTGCGTTGGTATTGCGGCTAATCTCTCGCCGGTGAGTTACTTCTGCATTTTTAAGTGACCAATTATGGCGTAAAAATGTTCAGCGTGATACTTTTTCGAATGTTGCTCCGACGTTGAGTACTATTAAGATCCACGATGAAGACGAGAATGGAGGCCACACGAGTTCATCCACCGGCCCGAGAAACTAATTACTGAAAAGTTTACTTAATTATAAGTATAGTAATTGCCACCAGTTTACTTGGAGGCGCTGTTTGAAGAAGAATCACATACAAGCACAACATCAATTGTGATTCGAGATTTACACAAAATTTATCTTGTCTACGTGCGTTGTACTGTATCTAGGCATCATTTTTATATTCGATTTTAATTATTTAATGTTCATAAAACGCTAAAGAAGACCTCTCACTCAGTGACCAAAGACAAAAGTTTTTTTTGGCATTATTCGTTATATAATATATGAAAAATTGTATACTAATAACTGCGGTAGGCCTTTTATTTTTGTTCAGTTTCACGTTTAAATTCGTTTTTTATGTAAAAGTGCTGTATTCAATTATTCGGAACAGATATCGCCATCATTGTCTCACGTGACTGCCTCTTATTTATTGTTATTGTAAATATTACTGTACGTATTCTTATCGGACGATTGATTTTACATATTTGGTTAAATGAAGCACGCAAATAACGACGAATAGCAAACTTCGTACTACATTTTGCGCAAACGTGTGTAACGTATTTTATATGAATTAGTGAAAATTAACTTGTAAAATAGTGGTTGTTTGTTTTACAATCTCTTTATTTGCGATATACGATCTCCTCTTTAAAGTTTACAATAGAATTTTTGCTCAGTAAAAGCTCAGTTTAAGCAGTTACTGTAACCAAAATGAAAAAAAAAATCACTTTACAATGCTACAGATATTTATAAGTTACGTTAAACTTAATCGGGATCCACGTGCGATGATACAAGTATTTGCCGTTTTTTGTAATTAAATTTACCATATATGTAATTGATAACAAGCATTGCCTACAGAATTATATCTATTTAATAATAATAGTGATAACAATCACATCGCAGTCTTGTTAACTTGTATATTAATATATTTACTTAGAATATTCTTGGTTGTGTTCATTACTTTGTTTCTTATGCAGATACCGTAAACATAGATACCATATGCAAAAAACCAACATTGCCATTTACCGCAATTATTGTAAAGAAAGTAATACTGCATTTGTAGCTAGCGTGCTCTTTCTTTCTATTCTTCTCCCGTACATATATATTTTTAAGTATTAAAACAGATTATGAGTAGCGACTAGAGATAAAATTAATGAAAGACTCAACCAGTGACAACATGATTTTTCCATTGTATGCCTATTTCATTTATAAATTATTATATATTGCATACTACTATATANCATATGATAATATAAAATTGCATATGTCGTATCTAGGTCGTATTTACATTGTGAACAATGAAGATTAAAATAACTCGAGAAAATATCACGGATAATATAGAACTACTTTAGTAATTTTGCAGTTTATCATTTCCGTTTACTTTACATTTTGCGCAATAATAATAATCATAAATAATTAATTTAATTTTTCATTTTGTTAAAATTCAATCATTTTCTATTCTCAATTGAGAGATCTGTTCTATATTTATATATTTGGATTTGGATAAAATGATATTAATGGAAATATGATAAGATACTTATATACAAGCGATTTAATTAATTTCACAGAAATTCAATTAATTTTATTTCTCGAGTCATTTGTAAACTTCTACTGAAATCTCTCTTCAATAATATATCTATAGATTCAAAACTTTTTTTATACGTAAGTTCATTAGTGTATGCCTTAATAATGTTTAAATATCTGATCTTAATGAACACAAACATTTGTAACACAAACATTGCGATATTACATTTATTTACACATATCCTTAAAACGGAATAAAATTCTGTATGCACATGGCTTCTTGATCTCATCGTGATCACGTTGTTACATTATTTATTTACCGTGGAAACAAATATATCAGATGTGTGTAAAAGTTTTATTCTTTCTTCCGCTGGTTCTCATTTTATTCTCATACAGTTAAAAGACTGAAACTTTTGCACACACCTAATACCTTAGGTGTTTATCGCAAATTCCAAAAATATGTTGCGTCTGTTGCGTCGCGCATTGATACGTTTCTGTAAATTGTTGTAACATTAATCGTGCCTTTCTGACTTACAATTCAACAGTGATATTCAACAGTATATAAGACAATGAACATTCCGCAAAATATAAACGCTTTAATTTTAAAGTTTAATTGTTCAGAAACGTTATGACACATTAACATTTATTGAAAGGATAAGAAATTCGAGAGGTCTTATCAATATAACTTGCATGTACGTGTATTATACACAGAAATGATACCTATTACATTGATAAAATGGTGTGATGTGTATGTGGAATACATGACACGATTATGCACATAAAATACTGTAAATTAATAATTTAACATAAAACGGACAATGATTATCCTTATCGTTGAAAACATCAGTTAATTAAAATAAAAATGATCGAAAGTAAGAAAAACATAGTCTGTGTTTATCTGATCAGTTCGGTGCAGAGTACATCCGAAATAGACTATCGCGAATACTAAATGTATTTTCTTGTATTTTTGCTAAATGTTGTATTGAATACATGTAGTATTTACAATAATTCTTTGTTTTATAATTTTGCAGTTATTTACATCCAATTATTTCCGGCTAATCGCAACTTTTTGATTGTTTCACTTTTCTTTGCGCCTCTGATTCGTCCTCGGTGCCATAAAGATGATCCCGGTGCTTCATTTCAGTTGCAACAGACTTTAATAAATCAACGGAAAAACAGAGAAATAAACGTAAGAATAACGTAAGTGACCAACGGAAGCAAGATAAATTCGTGAGTTAAACAGAATGAAAAAAGCGACTTCAATTAGTGTCACAATATAATGTTAATTTCAAACCGAACTCACCAATCGAGAACGTACTCTTTTTGGCATATCTTCTTCCAAACTGTACAGATCGCTACGTTTTAAAACGCTCTTAGAGCTATCCTCGAAAATCACCTATAGATAAAGAAAATAATACACATATACGTGTGTTTGCTTGTAAGATAAACGTATCATATCAAGTTACGTTGAAAATACAACAATTACTTACAGAAAACATGATTCGATGATTTGTACCTTCGAAAATACCGTCATACGTTTGACCGTCCGTCCAATTCACGGTCACTGCAGCGCCGAGCGAAGGTGTGTTTCCAGGGTCATAATTCTAAATAAGTTCCAGAATATAACGGTTATATATAAAGCACATATAGCCAAACATGTACAGTACATCTATATATATATATCCGAACTTAACTTGCAAACAACAAAAACTCATGAAAAGAACGAGTTGACAAAGCGGATTTTGAACGGAACTCACAGTTATATCTGATGGGTACAGATCGTCGCTGAAGCTATTGTCGCTAAACGTAACCATGTAGAAAAGGATGTCTTGTATAGCCTCCACTTTGGCTTTATAATATCGAGTATTACGATGTTTCGCCCACACAATTTCTCCCTGACGTATTTGCGGAATTTTCTCTTGACCATCGTCGTGTCCATTACACGTTACCTGGAATTATACGTATATCAATGTTGACGTTTGCATCGAAGGAAAAATACAGGAAAGGTACAAAAAGGAATAATTGTCCTCTGTGCGCATGCGTCGAAATTTATAGACGCTACAGGCGTTTTAAACAGTTTGTATCTCAGTTGTTATGAATAATAATTGACGTAACTGGCCATACCGGCCTATATGTTTTAAGCTTTCACCAACCTCGATTCGGTCAATCGACGGTTAACTTAATGGAATTGACCAATCCCGTTGAGTTAACCATGGTCGGTTGAGTGAGGTTGGTAAAATTCAACCTTGTGCTCACATACTTCTATATATTAGACCGCGTACTACCGCTTATTAGGCGTATCCAATCTTTATGTAAATAACTTGTACATAAGTCAGAGCGCATGCGCGGAATAAGAGCTCAGAGAACGTAGCTATTTGCTAGTGACTTGAATAGTTATATGCTATAAAATACTTAAAAAAGATATCTCGCAATCTTTATGGCTTATATACTTCGACACTCTTTCGCCACGCACTTAACGGCATTTTCATCTAAAAAAAAAAAAGGCAGGTCAAATAATACTTTAAAGTTCGCAGAGAAACTCTTTATCACACTTGGAATCCAACATGGCGATGTAAAATGTAAACAACACTCTATATGCTCTTATTTCGCGCATGCGCTGTGTCTCAACTTTGGTATATACATTTAGGATACACGCATGTAAGGTTAATATATGCGATTGGTACGCGGTGGTTTGTGTTATGTAGAAGTCGGTGCTTATGCCCGTTTTTACCATCAAAGAAAAACCTGAGAGCGGCCACGCAGCCGTTTTTCAAGGACTATCTTTTCGATACGCCTAAATTACGTTAGACAAAGAGCGACGATCAAATTTAATTAGCGTCACTGAATTATAATGATAGTGGAATGTGCACGAGCGAGACAAGAGAGATAATCACATACTAATGCCATCTTTATCATTGTACAGTCTCCTCAAGAACTCGGTCTCACGATCAGTGACCGAGATATGCCAGTGTAAAATATATTCAACGTAATTGTTAGAAAGGAATTTCATGTTAACAAAATTTGCATAACATATTACATGATTCTTAATTAATATTAAAACGGTCTGTAATGAGTGGCTATACAATTGTTTGTTCATTTTACTTTTGGACTGGGTGATACCAAAAGAGTACAAGCATGCGTATGCAACAAGGACAGCTAATAGTTTTTCACACACACACACACTCTCTCTCTCTCTCTCTCTCTCTCTCTCTTTCTTTCTTTCTTTCGTCTCGTTTTTAACCTGTAGGATTTCACTGGTTGCGCCTTTCAGTATTATTATAGTTCAGATCATCGCTCCTTGTCTAACTCAACGTAGTTTACATGTATTTTCTCAGGGAGTGTATATTAAAAAGATGATCCTTGAGAAACAGCGGCATAGCCGTTCTCCGGATTTCTTTGACATTAAGGTCTTCACACATGGATTGCGGTAACCACGAGCACAAGGCGTGAGAATTAGCCAATAAACGAAAATGTGGAACCGTTCGACCAATTGCATAGCGGCCATAATGGCTAGCTGCTGCAGCTCATGGGTGCTTCGCGATTGGTCGAACGGTTCTATACTTCCGTTCATTGGCTGATTTTCAGGGTACGCCTTATGTTTACGGTCACGGCAATCCATGTGTGAAGGCCTTTAGTCGTACAATTGAACGTAATTTGATTCCAGTTCCTCAGACGCCTATACTTTGCGCTCGCTGGCCGGCAGCTCGCGCTAAAGTGTATATCTATACAATCGCCATCTATGTGCCGCTAAAAGTCGATTAGTCATGCAGACGGTAATCTTTCTCGTAGGGTAAAAGACTGCCGCCTCAACCATTCTGATTCACCTTATACATGTCTCGTCTAAGTAAACTATACCTGAAGTTCCGACGAGTTGTAAGCTGGAATAGTGAACGTTGCGCCCGCGACAAGACCGCATGACGGATGAAATACGTTCGTACATTGATTACACGTCAGGCATGCCCCACGTTCTCGCTCGCAAAAACAACACTTTTTGCACGTGTCAACCGTGATCGCCAGTACGTTGATGGGATCTTTGTTAATCGCATCTTTAAAGATGGCGCCCGGCACCATAAGCGTACACAGAATATGCGCCCATCTGCTGTCGCTGGTACGTTTCATAGCGCCGCCGAACATCGGACACAAACAACACATCTGCCATGAAGAGAACAAAATTAGATGTCTGACTAGGTCTGACGTGCGCGGGGGTCAACATACCACGTCGTACATGCCAGCTTTGCACTTGTCACACGCCCAATTCTGAGTATTCGTGGGTAACACAGTTATACCGTAACAGGACGCATGGACAGTTACTTGACATTCTCTGCATCGTAAAAGTTTCTCATTTTCCGGCTCCACGGCCTGTTCCTTGGAGTTGGCCGCGAAAAGATTAGCTGACACCTAAAACACACACACACACACACGTTCAAGTTGTGCTTTTTTGCATTAGGTTGATGCACAAAAGTCCGTTCCACTGTTTAATCAGTTCCTCATTGAGAAATTCCGGAATTTCCACGAGCGCGATATCATGCTGCTCACGCAGCACGGAGAGATGGCGGGTCGTCGAACAAATCGACGCTTAAAATTGATTGATTATATCTTAAAATAAATATTATATATATATATATATATATATATATATATATATATTAATTAAATATCATATATTGATTAAAGAATGGAAGAGAGGGGAATTTCCGCATCAACCCAACAATACGTTGCGTACACATTCCAATTAATCAGCGTTTACACGGCAACGTTAACCCGGCTTAGTACCAACCGTAGTTTGTAAGCTCTTTGCGTCTAATTGGAGTACGCTTTTTTAGATTTAAAAGAATACGCCAATATTGGATGCAAGAGCTCATTAACTACGGTTGTTCTTCTTCCAGTACCATACCTGCGGCCAGGCGTAAGGTGAGGCTCTCCCTCACATGCCTGTGGTGCGCATGCCGATTATACACAGGCATGTGGGACTTACAGTTAAACGTCGGTCCCGAACGGCAACGGTTTTTTCGAGATATTTTACTACGCAAAGGACACTCTCTCAGTGGTGCTGCCATTGCCTTCCGAAAGGAGACGCGAACGTAAATTACTTTGACTTCTACCGGGATCGAATCCGAGACCGTTACAGCGTGGTAGACACCTGTGCGCTGTCTGTTATACCACGCTCGTGCCCGACCGAGTTGTTACCAAAACTTTTAATTAACGTTGCCGTGTGAACACAGTCAGTGGTTTTCGCAAGAACTTCCTTACCCATATTGGCGTACTTTCAGGTAAGGCGGTTTGTTTACAATATCTCCAATCGGGTGGCATTACTCTGCTGCTCCCGCTGCTACACGAGGCAAAGGTGGCGCATACTGCGCAATGGGATATTTGAGCGCTCCAATAATCATTGAACGCCCTCAACATTTCTTTATTCGGAACGTTCGGAAAGATCATCTCGGAGATGTGTCCCGGTATCACCGACGGTGTATGAATACTGCAGGTTTTCGGCACATCGGTCGAATCCATCGACGTGGATCGCTCCTTCGTAGTTTCACCCGTTGAATCGGTGGCGGGTAATGGCAGTTCCTTCTTCTCCACATTTTCCACTTTCACCGCATTCTCCACCTTCTCCACCTTCTCCACCTTTCTCAACTTTTCTTTTGATTTTCTCCTCGCGGTGGCCGCTCCTTTTGATTTCACATTAGATGCCGCCAAATGTGAACTAGTATTGTCCGTTTGTATTGATAAATTTGGTAACAATATTTTATTGTCGGGCGTACTTGAACACTCATTCTCGTTAAATTGCACAGGACTGGCTATTATTGGCTTTATTTCGACCGAAGAGTCACCGCTTGACTGTGTCACATTTGGCGCGACACCGTCTGTAACCCTTGACACGGTAATGTTGACAAACGACTGATCATCGATCTGTACACCAATCATCTCATTCACTTGCGTGCCAGATTGCACACTGCTCGTGGTATCACTTGCCTGATGAGACACGCTCGATGACGGATTGTTAGGACACGACTTGTTCGGAGTCCTCGGCGGCCTCTTGCGCGGCGTGTGCCCTCCTCTTTGCGACTTTTGGCGTGACTGATTTTTGCGCTCCTTCGACGTATCAGTGCTGACCTTCGGGTATATTCTCGCTAGATCGTTCGAGTAGTTCGTGGCATTTAGCAGGTACGTCTTGTTGGAATCTATCGGTGTGATTTGAGCGGAAGCGTACATGCTCTTCATAGGGTACGTCTGCACGGCCGACGTATTTGCCGGCAGGACCAAACCTGGTATCGAGGAAACACGTACGTTGTCGTGTTTATTCGGCGAAGTAGAGACGGGGGTCAATTGAACAATGTTTGCCTTTTCATTAGAACCGGACGAGCCGCTTCCCCAGTTGTATCCTTGAATCATCGTTTTGCAGCTGCTAGGGATCACGTTTCTGGATACGTAGTTGTGCCGATTGTACTCGTGCCCGTCGTAATCGTGTCGCTCGTACATCGACACGCTGCGGCAGTTACTGAACGAGGAAGGCCTCGAACTACAAACTTGATTAATCACGGTGTCGGCTGGTAACTTTATATGCTCTATCGTTGAGATCGGCGACGGGCTGGATTTGAAGTTGGCGGGTCTGACGTCGCAATGCGCTGCCGTCTCGTTCTGCAAAACCGGCGGGCCTTGGCTGAAAGTCGGGGTAGTTGAGAACGGCGTAACCTTCTTGAATTCGGAATTGATCCAAATCCTCGGTACAACCGGGGTGTGGTGTACCGCATTTTCGTTAGCAGCGGAACTGTCAGCACGCACTTGAGACGTGAGCCGTGACGCGTCGTAACCGGTTTTTAATATACTTAACTTAGGTGCTTTCAACACACTCTTATAATTTGTACTCGTAGACGTATTCTGCGCGATCGGCCTTGCACTTTCGATCGGATACTCCGAGTTTATGCCTTTGTGCGCGACAATACTTTGCACCATAATACCTGCTGCCGCACTTCCGCATGCAGGTCCGATAGAGATATTTTTTACGTTCATCGTTGTACCAACAGTTGCTTTGTTCTCGCAGGCAATGTTCATCAACTTCTCCGTACCCGTGTCGTCGTTATACGCGAGGCTCGTCGTCTGGCCGCTGTTAGTAATATTCACGACGGTTTTGTCTTTCATGTTTATCATGCTCAGCTCGTTACCAACGGAGATGATATTTCCAGGCAACACGTTGACCTTCCCCTGGTTGTTCGAGATATCCTTCACAGAACATCTCGGAATACAGATCTCGGGCAGTGTTATATTTTTACACTGAGCATCCGACAAATTAAAAGTTGAAGCGGCATCATCGAAAGTCGGTACATTATCTTGTTTGCGCTTACTTTTGGACACGTGCCGCTGTTTCAATTTCTTCTGCTCGTTGTGCTTTGAATGCTTCTTCTTTTTCTTGACGTACTTGTCGCTACTTTCCGAAAAGTCCGAGAGCTCTACTTTCACAGATTCATCCCTGCTTTCTATGATAATACTATCGTTGTAATTCCCTTGAAGCACCGGAATATCATCGATATTTTCTTGGGACACGTCTTCGAAGGAACCTGTCATGTCGTCAACTTCCGTTTTTATCTCAATTTTAATTTCATTTGCATCCTGAATGTTAACTTTGTTAGCCCGCTTCTTAGATTTTGACTCACGCTTCTCTTTCTCCGGCAAACTTTGCTTCCTCTTCCTTTTCTTGCTCTTCTTACGATTGTAACCGTCGTCAAAAACGGTTGCCTCGTCAACGTCTGGAGAACAGGAGTATTTGATCAGCAAAAAATATTTCAAAACGCAAACCGCCAATCGCGTTAAAAGGGGGAAAAATTATGAGAGCAAAATTAAGTTAAAATTGCAAAAAATAATTGATTTGCGAAAATAAAATTGCGCAGGATCTTACCCATCTCTCCTGCTTTCAACCAAATGTCTTCCAAAACTTCCATTTGTTGCTCATCAGGCGGCTCTTCAATTTCCTCCATTTCAAGATCCTGTAAAACTTTCTTGACATCCGGAGGAATATCTGTGTATCCCTCAAGTTGCTCCATAACGACAGCAGGACTGGTGGCTCTAATATTCTTTTGCTTGTGAATCATATGTCTCTTATTCTTTAGAGCTGCCCTCAGATAGCTTTGCGGTAATTGGCCATTGCTACTGCTGCTACATAGTAGATCCATTTGCGATGGCATCGGTGCCGCAGTTTGTCTAGGATCCTCAGGATGGGGTCCGATATCCTCACCACGTAGCCATAATTCATATCTTTATTGTCAGAATTAATGATAATAATAACGTCAGTATGCGAGGCAAATATGTTAAGTTTTACAAACAATTACAAAGGCACCGAGTGATTTCTAAATCAATTGCGTACCTGTCCGGTTGGAAACGTTTAACAAAGGTATCCATAGATATTTTCACCATGTCTTTACTGCAAGTGCACTGCGTAGCTCTTTTGCCATATTCCACCCATCTTGGTGCCGCGAAATTGGTAGATTCAGCACAATTAAATCCATGATTAAAGCCAGCATGATACCCATACGGAAATGTAATCATTATTTCTCCGGCCTCCTGCGTTATCTGTGGATATGAATGTGTGATAAAGTTAATAATAATAATTTGTGGTAACATATAAATTTCTTTAGTAATTTTTGTCCAACTTACTTTGTTACACGGAATGGAATATTGTCTTAATATTTGAGGAGATATCAGGGACATCTTGTGGCGCAGAAAGGCTTGGCAGCTTTGGTAGCTCGATGGGAAAAAACCACTGGCTAGCCTCTCCAATCTTCGTCCATGTTCCGGCGGTATAGCATACCATGTTTTTGGTGCACCGAAATGTAAATAATTTATAGAATAAAGATCCATATCCTCTGTATGCCAAGCGAATGTAGTCTTCCACATTCCAAAATAGAGATAAGCTGTATTAACACCATCGATCGATATGCCATAATCTTTGTTAACGTAATCTAAGATGGTTCCAAGATGATTGATGTTCCATTCATTCACATCTGGGTCAGTCAAAGAGCCAGATACATCCGCCCCATATATCGGTGAGACATATGTTATGTTCTTCCAATATTTCCTTTCTAGATCTTCATAATCGAAGTGACGTGGTGTACAATAACGCTCAGAATTGGCTAATATCTTATATTCTTGAACAGTCATTGGTTTCTTTTGAATGTTGATTTGTTGGTACAGGCCCTGTTTTCCAGTGACCACTTGACAAATAGGTGCTGGTATCGTGAGATTTAGAGAATCTAAATCATAGCCTTCTTTCCTAGGAATCCATTCAACAGGCGGTATCACTTTGGCCAAACCTGCCTTGTGAGCCCCTTGACTTTCCATATATTCGACATATTTTGAAAAGTCTTTAAATTCTTCGTAAGTCGGTCTAAAGACCTGTATACGCGGTATACCTCTGGTATTACTAGTGGCCATTGTTGAATTTACTATAACTGGAGATGAAAAAAATATAATTATAAGTGTTGTAATATAGATTGCGTACAATAAGATAAATTTAACGGTTATATGTGAAGAAAAGGTAATAATTAACAAACAATTGGTGATTGATGATCTTACACTTGATTGAGATATATTTTTATATGAGCTTTTAAAAAATTCGGATAAACTTTTAGACTAAACCTTAGCTTTAGGCTAAACCCTAGCTTAGCTGAAAAATCAAATATTTTTAAATACAATATGTTATAAAAACTGGATTATATATATCAGTACGAAAAAAGTGAATTATTATTATTAATCTTAGTAAAAGTAATTCTTACAAGAAAACTTTATATTTTGAAAAAAAAACTATTAATAACCATTAATGCACAAACTTATATAAATTTAATCTTCTAATCTAAAACATCTATTTAAATCGTTTTTCTCATAAAATGTCGGCTATTTTAGCTTTTAACGTTTTACTGATGATAAGTTGCCCAATAAGCACACTTTTTACCGGAATATTTACAACTTATCTCTCAAGTAACTTCGAATGAATTTTATTCTGTAGTAAAACATTAACAAAACAAGATTATAACCTATTAAGAGGCTAACGGATGAAACGTTGAAGATCCAAGATACTACGAGAAACGCGATATTCAGTCTAATTTTCAACGTGGGTAAACTTCGGAAATATGCAAACTGTACATACGGGTCACGCTGTGGTACAGAAAGTATGGTTGATTCGATACACCCTATATAGCGTCATTGATGCTCACGCGTCAAACGACCATTAAAACATGTCGCACGATAAGGGACTGATGCAATTCGCGTGCGAAAGAAATTTAACTGTAAAATCGTTGGTTATACGCGAAGTGGTGGCACGCACCACACGGTTTCTCCTCGATAATATGCACGAAACGATCGAGCCTGCTGGCTGTTCGATGTTTTTGGAACGAAGCACGCGGAGGAGGTTCGTAAACAAAATGGTAGTGGTCTATTGTTGCAGGGCTCCTCTTAAACTATACTTACTGACTGGCCGTTCGACGCGATCAACGATAGATTGTACCGCGTCGCACGCGAGTTCCCGTGAAATTTCTCGGCGTGCTCGACGCACGGCGACGAATTGTCGGGCGACGAGGAAGAGACGCTTGGCCGCCGAGGTCCCGAGCGGAACGCCGAGCGAGATAAATCACGCTTGCATAGAAGCGCTTCGGGCACGTGCGAGGACACATTTACTTACGTCACGAAACACAAAGTGGAACCACCTTTTCGGTGTCCTCTATCATGTTCCGCGATAATTCACCGTTTGCCGGACAGCTCTGCGATTTCGCCAGGTTGACACCACACACACCATACACGCATACACCACGATGCTTATGATCCGCGCGTCGCTGGTCGTATCCTAGAGCGAAGATGGCGTTCTCAGCGCAGCTAGAGTCCCTCGCACGCAGGCGGAGGAAGCGGAACTGTCGCCAGCGGCTTCCACCCCCGAAATTCCATACCATAGATTAAAATCTCTTCGCATAATGGGGAAACCACAGACGACGGGAAAGGAGAATAAGGGTGGATTCGCACAAACTCCGATTAACCTGACCGACTGATCAACTCAACGGAATGGACCAATCGCAATTGCCCAATTGGCTGAATAGATCGGTATGATTGGTCAATTCCGTTGAGTTGATTGGTCGGTTAGGTAATGTAATCGGCAGTTTAATCGGAGTTTGTGCAAAATCACCCAAACAGGCAATAGATTTGCAACCTATTGAAAAGCGTGTATCAATTATTGTGTATTGGTTTTTGATAGGTTGGAAATCCATTGTTTATGTTGTTCTTTGTTCCTGTTGCCTGTAATTTTCCATTGTACAAAGGGCTTTAAAACCCGTATTAAAGACTACGTTTATACGGCAAGTGTCGATCCACAATAGGTATTTTAAGCCTTAAGTAATTAACAAATCACAGTCGAATATATATAGTATAATTAATTGTGATTGATCAATTTCTTAAGGCTTAAGGTTTAAAATACCCGTTGTGGATCGACGCTAACGTTAATCCTGGTCTACAATAGATGCTTTCATCCTTAAGAAATTGACCAATCACAATTAACTATTCTCTTCACGTTCGACTGTGACTGCGATTCGTGTTGCACTTCAGGTCGTATACTTGCGGCACTTGAAATACAGAAAGAACCCGATTTTCATTTATTATAAATTTTTAGGGTCTTTAGGTTAAATACGTTTGCAAAATTCCAAAAATAGTTTTACGAGCAAATATGATTTCTCCGAGTGAAAATATGAGAATAGATAGAACGGAAAGTATAGCGGCATTTTTTCTACAATCGATAGTTGGCTCCGGCCGGGCCTTAAAATATTCGTATTATTCAATATATGTACATATATATTACGTTGAAAGATTGAATATTCGTATTTAAAAACCAACAAGAATATTCAGAATTAAGTATGTATCCGTTGATATTTTTACCTTCATCGTCATCTCCCAGTTTTCTCAAATTATCCACAACACAGGCATTTCCGCTTTGATCCTTTACAATGGCTGCTGACTTGACATTTACTTCAAGGTACTCTACTTGTTGTTTGGTGGGATGCGCTTGCGTCGTAATAGTTCGGGTCGCCTGACACGAGCGAGGCAAATTTAAATTTTCCTCGTTTGTCACGTACGAACTTTCACCGAGCTAATATCCTCGAGTGTATCTTCGAAGTGATAAACCTTGCGACTTTTCATCTTCTTTTCGAATGCCCTACGAGAATTTCCGAAAAAATCTGGGGTAATTATAGATTAATGCTAATAAAGTACGTACATGTTTTTATTAATCGTTTAATTTTAACCCAAATTTTATTCCAAGATGATTTATTTACAAGTAGCAACTTAGCCATATTGCAGCTTCCGAGTTATCGCAAAGAATTGTCAATCGTTCGTTTCCTTTTCAGAGATGGAACGAGACAGATTGATGAATCAACTACGAGAAAATAACTGGAACGTGTTTTCATATATTGGGAATCGTCTTCGCTAAAAAAGATAATATTTTATCAGTTATTTTCGATTCATTTTTATCTTTTTTTTTTGCAAAATTATCTTTGCACTAAAAGAAGATTCATCTAATGTAAGTTCAACCTTCCAGGCTTCTTGAAATCTGACTTTCCTTTGGTAATTTTCGCATAAGATCCAACTGAGATGGAGAAATGTTTGGTAAAATTGCCGGGCTACAGGAAATAATGGCCCAGGATAATGGGAGAAATTGTCATGTCTTATCAGAGAATCTTATTTTAGATAATCAAGAGCGCATCCCGATAACGTGTGCCCCGATAACATGTGTCTATTATTCATGCTGACTGTCATCGCAAAAGCAACTGGAGCTTCGGACACAGTTTCACGATCACCCTTTATAATGGTTGAAAAATGAAGCATTCGCACCGATTGGGCATACCGAATCAGTTGTGCAAGGTGCAACAGCGTCGTGATACGTGCTAACGACGACGATGCGACGGAGGAAAAGCGTCGTCATCCGTGCTGAGCTCCACGGCACCGACTCATGCAACACTCCGTACCACACGAGCTCGCCTGCGCGATAAAGGCGCGCGTAGAATCGAACGAGAGTTATCTACCGGCCGTCAGATGGAAAGAAAGGAGGATATGAATCGCACGGAAACTCAACGGCGAATTGGCATTTGTGAGTCGAGCGTGAGGAACGCGCGAACGTGCGTTCGAGAGGTACAGCGATCATGAGCCCGGCGATATCGGTGGAGGAACACAATCTGCAACAATGCACGAGTATGGAATACACAACGTGTTCGGAGAAGTTGCTCTACTTGCTCTTCGAGGATATTTCATACTGCGTGCGCAAGAGTATTCTGACGAAAGGTAATTACCCAGTCGACGCGTTTAACTGCGGCTGTATTATTTCGAATGTAACAATAACTTTACATCGGTGTTATGATTTCGTGCTCAATAATGTAACTGCAGTATGGCACACGTATACATGTAGCAATGTAGAAATATGTACGTAACAATTACATTAACAGAAGTAATATAAACAAGTGTTATAGAGATTTGATGTTGAGATGACATTGAGGAAAATCATACTGGATAAATATATCCAACAAACATTAATTAACATCGATGTTATCATTTTCCACTTAACAATATAACTGTTACGTAACATATTGTATTAAGGGTACCCATAAGTAATGTCGTTTTTTTTTTAGATTGAATAAATATCCACTGAGGTTTTGAATCCCAATAAAACCATAACTATTAAAGATTATTGTATACAGCTTTATAGACTGAATATTGCTGTGCTTGATTAATCTGTATTAAATGTTAAATAAAATAAAATTTAGTGTAAGTATCAAAAAGCGACGTTACTTATGGGTATTCTTAGTATTTATATTGTTGTGGGAAATTATAACATTAATTATTATGTTACTGTTGATGTATATTAGATACACATATATATATATATATATATATATATCTGTTGATATTTCTACAAATTACAATTTGAATAAAATATATATATATACAAGAATATAACACTATTTAAAATATAAACCCAGCAAACACAAAGTAACAGTTATATAAATGTTAATTGTAATTTCCTACTCAATAATATAATTGTTATATAACACACGCGTAACAGTTATATTATTAAGTAGGAAATTACAACTAACATTTATATAATTGTTACTTTGTGTTTGCTGGGAAAATGTCTAGTAGAAAATAAAATAGGGAGATATTAAGAGAAGTACTTGATACTTCAAATAATTGTTGAATGATATAAATATTTAAAGGAACAACTTCCTGTTGTTTGAATAGTGTAAAAATTAGTAAATGAAAGATATAAATTAAACATAAAAATGTAATAAATAATACAAAAATCTTACAAATAATTTTATAAAATTATAAATAAATTAGGTTAGTGTATACAAATTATTCTTTGACATTATACGGCGCTATATTTTTACTTATAATTGATGTTTTTATCTATCTTATGCGATAAATTCTTGTGACATGAGATGAGCAAAATAATTGTGATATGAACGAAACCAATTAATTCAATTTCAGAGAAAGCAACCATTGCATTTCGATCATTATAAATAAGTCATAATCATTATAATATTTAATTAAAAGTTTAATGCACGTATATATACGTATTAAAGAAATCTGGATTTTAGATGACGAGAATAATGTAAACTAATATATTCCGTCTTTGTCTGTGTACTTCATATATGGAAATTGTGGTAAAAGATTGTTGTTCAGAAAAAGTAACTTATTGTTAATACAGAAGTACAAAGGCATATTAATCTTTGTCGTGAGTACTTAAAATCGATAAGATATACGTTGGCTACTTCATGTTCGGTTTCGTTCCAAAGTATAGGAAGATATGACGTATGTTGCTGGTTCATTGTTCGTATTCGATTATGGTCGGAATATCATTTGTGCAACTTCAGAAAGTTTATTTAAATTTGTCCTAATTAATTCAAATAAATGTTACTTTTTATAATTCTCTTTACTTTAAAAATTAAAAGCGTACATACTTTATGTACTTCTATTTGTTATTATTAAATATACATATGTTAATTGTAATTATTTCCGATCCGATGTGCAACTCGATTGACCGCAGTGTTGAAAGTAATCAGATCATATATTTCTATTGGTTTTGCTGTCCGAAATGAGATAACTGTACAGATTACATATCTATATCGATAAAGTTAAATTCATTTCAAGCAGATAAAGCTAGTTCGGACAGATATTAATGATATATTCGACTATATTACACATATCTATTACAACGGGTGAGATAAATTATTAAAAATGAATTATTAGTAAAAATTCTAGTATTCTTGTTACTCGGATGTTTGATACATTCAATTTTCAAAAGATCTTTTTATCGCTCTCTCGAATTAATTACGAATCAAATGCTAATCTGGGTTAATGGCCCATAATTGCGATGTTTTCAAAAACACGCTGGATGTGAAATGAGTGTAGCATGCGGATTCAAAACATAGTACATAAATCAATCATAGATCACGAGTTAAGACGTAAAATACCAATCGCGTTACAACGGCTTGTACATAATCATTATATTTAGTGACACTATCGTTGCACAAATGTATTTTGGCTATTTACCATTATTACGCAAATTAAAAACTTTTATTTTAGTATGTCAATTATCTGATCTGTAAAGAGAACGTAAATTACATTTTTCTTTATTATTTTTCTATAGCTGTCCAATTATTTTTTTTTGCATATTCATCGATTTATTCTCCAAAGTTTATTTTATAGCTATCCAATTATTTTTTTTTTGCATATTCATTGGTTTATTCTCCAAAGTTTATTCTCCATAAATATTAATATTTATTTTATTTTTTTCAGGTATAAGAAAATTGCTATACGATCTTAATGGTGACTTTCGACCGGGCGAACTCACAGCTATTATGGGTCTTTCGGGTGCTGGGAAATCTACACTAATGGACATCTTAGCGGGTTTTACGTAAGTACACGGTTTGTGTTATGCTCTGAAGTTTCTGGTAAATTTTATTTCATCGATAATGGGTAGAGGAAACGTTTTAAATTGGAAAATCTTGCAATTTAATCTTGACGCTTAGATACTTTGTAGAGGAAGAAATAGGAATAATACAACTCGATAATATAAAATAAAATAATATACAATTGTTAATTGTTTCTTCAAGGAAATACATATATCGAGGCGGATCAAATCGGCTCAATTGGGAATACAATCACAAATTCACAACTTTTGTAGAATTCTCCTCGTATTATTTCATAATTCAATAATGCGGTAGAGGAAATCCCAAAATTAATAAAATATTTTGTTAATTCCGTAACTAATCATAAATTGTGTTAAAATAATATTGTAGACTTGGAACATATTTTGTCTCAATGTTATTTAATACTTTCGTTTACACAAGATCAACTGGTTCAAGTCAAGTGATTTGAGCTTAAACTTTCACAACTTGCGTTATGCATTAAATTCTCCGCTTTTAACGCATGGCTCGAGGTTTCTCGTAGGATTGTCAGCTTGTCTGGAATGTTAATTGAAATATATATATATATATATATTCAGTTTGTATCAACCGTTATATATCTAAATTGAGACAACCTTGAAATTGTGTAGTATCCACATCATCTCTGTTATCGAGTTGTTAGTCTTTTTAGGGGTTGATTAGATCGTGCAAATGTTGCGAACTCTTCCGGGCACAGATTATACTTGCGTCAACCGTATCTTCGTTCAGATATCCTCGTGAAGAACGCGATCAGATACTTGCGCGTACGTAGTGCCGGTAAAAAGTCGCGGTGCATGTGCAGTGCATATGCACTGCCCCTGTTCAAGGTTTCCACAAGTATGTACCTTTTGTACCAAGTCAATATCAATGTCCGCTATTTAAGTACAACTATCGCGATACCGTTGCGATGAACGTGATACCATGCATCCCGCACGTGCAAATAAGCTTTCACATTCTTATCTCTTCTCTTTTGAATAAATAACATTATCTGATCTTTCTTTAATTATCTGATCAATCTTTCACCTCGCTAAATATGATTGTACCCTCGCATTTGCAAAAGTAAACACTCGTTGATTTTTGTATCACACACACAGTAAGAAATTTAGTGTTAGAAATTTAACACTTTTCACACGTCCCAAACGGTCTGTTCAAATTTATTTCTGCTAATTTAACACAAAGTGAATATATTAAGTAATCGATTTTTGGCCACGTATCTTTCATCAATAATAACAAAACGGTACATGATACCAAATCAAAGTATTTGCCATCTCAAGTACCAAGTCAAAGTATTTGTCAATGTCCATTTCTTTGTGTCATCTTTCGAATAATTGTCTGATTTCTCGTCTGTTAATTCGTCTTTTGTGAACCAATCAAGTTTTATCGGCGATTCGACGAACGATTCTGCAAACTCTAATACATGAAATAAGTTTGATCCTCTTTTTACTTTAAATAAGATCTGCCGAAGAGCTTTTGTAAATCAGTTACAGGAAAAATATACGTTTAAAATCACACACGAGGATTTCGGTATCTCTTTATCCGTGTGAAATAAAATTAGTAATCCGTCAATATCAATAAAAGATTAGTCGGAGAATCATAATTAATTTTGACGAATTAATCCGGCGAAAGATAACCCGTGTACTTCGGTAAAGGAGAAACAACAGATGGCAAATAAAAATAATCGCATTTATAATTTGTCAGCAATCACTCATCGATGTTTAACATTTTTAATTAATGTATTGTCCATGATAAGCTGAAAATGTAACATTTAAGTATCGTATTTCAGAACAACCTCGGTCACTGGCAAAATCATGGTGAATGGACAGGAAAGGAATATGTCCGAATTTCGGAAATTATCGGCCTATATAATGCAGGATGACCATTTACAACCACTCTTAACGGTGCAGGAAGCAATGCTCGTTGCCGCGGACCTCAAACTAACGTTAAACCGTCGTCAAAAATTGGAAAAAGTAGGTTTTATTAAACGTTAATTATATTAAAAATTTAATGATATCAAGTTTTACTGTTTAGTGAATATGTTATCTGAGATGTATTTTTGTACATACGTCTCAATAATCATTTTGAATCATAATTAACTTGAATTAATGAAATATTAACTTTTAATTAAATTAGTTTTGGTTTAGGTAATTTTTAACTTAATTAATATTTTATAGGCCATTAACTTTTAACGTAATTTAATTAAACATAAAAATCAACTTATCTAACCCTGTTCATTTCACAGATCGATGAAATATTAACAGCAATGAGCCTCGATGCGTCTCGTTATACGCGTACGAGCGAGCTTAGCGGGGGTCAAAGGAAAAGACTTGCTATCGCGCTTGAACTAATCAATAATCCGCCCATTATGTTCTTCGATGAACCAACAAGGTAGATATCAAATGTTTATATTCCGACGAGTGCCTGTTATGTTGCAATACCACATAAATCTTTCGATGTCTCCTTTCAGTGGTCTGGACAGTGTTACCTCGAAGCAGTGCATAGCGCTTTTGAAGCAGTTGGCGAAAGAAGGACGAACCATAATCTGCACGATTCACCAGCCGAACGCGACGCTCTTAAACATGATAGACCATCTCTACGTAGTTGCCGATGGGAACTGCGTTTATACGGGCAGCACACAAAATTTGGTACCATATCTAAGTAGCGTAGGTTTATACTGTCCGAAGCACTACAATCCAGCTGACTTTTGTAAGTCGTGTTTCTGGTTAATCAGCTTTATCCCCGTTTTTTCTTATTTTTCTCTTATTATTTGACAAATTATATGTGATAGATCTGTCTAGAAAAAAAAAAAAAATTAGCAATGCACATTAACGCAGGCAGATTTTGGTCGCAATTCTGGTACTCTGCAAGAATATTTGTACTGCAGTTCTTCAAGCTGTCTTTCCGTAGTGATGGAGATATGTAACGGAGATTACGGTGCCCATGTGCCTAAATTGGTAGAATCGATCCAGAATGGTAAAAGCAACGAATGGAGATTGGATGAGACTTTCTACTTGAACAGAGAGATCATCACCTCGCAACAGCTTCCACCTATGAGATTGTATTCGTTCGAAACGGAATTTAAGCATATTCCACATTACGCTGCCGGTTCCTGGAGACAGCTTAGCGTTCTTGTTAGGAGAAATGCAATTAGGCTATTACGCGATAAGGTAATGCCTGTAAATTCCGTCTATTGTGTTTGTTCATATATTTAACGATTTTTAATCATTTTGATTCTTATCGTTAGGTGTTACGACATATGAATACAATTCACTAAGCTATTAATGTAATATTTATTCTCTCTCTCTCTCTTTCTCTCTATGTGATAGTAGTAAAACAATAATAAAGCAATCTCTTCTTTGTGTAGTTTTTGATGGTTTCAAGGATCTCAATGCACTTGACGGTTGCTCTACTTGTGGGCACGATATACTTCAAAATTGGCCAAGACGCCGCTTACGTTTTAGACAATTTTAATCTATTATTCTTCAGTATGATGTTTCTCATGTATACCGCGTTTAGCGCTACAATGGTCTCGTGTAAGTTTATTATACTTTATTATACTTTTCTATTTTATTACACTTTTAATGCAACTTTTAATGCAACTTTTAATGATTTTTAATCATTTTAAATACAAACATTCGAAAATACGAACTCGTCTCTTTTACAACTATGTTATTAAGCGACAATGTAAATTTATTATTGCAAACATTATTGTAAGAGTGTTCGCTGTAACGTAACCGACTATTTTTATTTCTTTTCACAGTTCCTTCGGAAGTGCCAATACTTATGCGCGAGCACTTCAACCGTTGGTACAAACTACGATGGTACTATCTAGCGAACAAACTAGCCGATTTTCCGGTCCAACTTACTGCCACGTTTATTTATGTCCTTATAGTATATTTTATGAGTGATCAGCTGCCCGATAGTGGAAGATTCGGCCTGTTCATACTCATGTGCTTTGCTATCAGTCTGGTTGCTCAAGCGGCTGGACTTATCCTAGGAACTGGGCTGAAGGTTCAAGTATGCATTCAATTATTTAGAGCTTCGTGTGTTGTCCCTGTTCGAGATTTACTTTGAAGAGTAGACTCCTACGGGGAAAAAGATTTGATATGAAATTTGCTCATATATGACTATATGTAATCATATATGTCCACAATGAGAAAATACTGTTGTTTGCAAATTTATATGCAAATAGAATCGGAGCAAATGCTTTTGACTACTTGTGCTTCTGATAGTACATAATATATCGACATTGAATTAAGTGACATAATATCGTGTTTTTTTTTCGTATAGACATATATGATTATATATGTAACCACATATATGGGTAACATTCATATATGATTTTATATAATTATATATATAATTATATATAGTCATTTTCTCCCCGGGCTCTTACTCTTTCAATATACACACATAGAAGTGTGTAGAACACAAAGAATAATAAAAGTAATAAGTATTTAATTTCAGAATAGCGTGATTTTCGGACCATTTGTGATCTTGCCGTTTATGATATTTAGTGGATTCTTCGTGCGTATAAGAGACGCGCACCCGTATTTACAGTGGTTATTTCACACATCGTTTCTCAAATATGGATTTGAAGGACTTATGATTGCAATTTATGGGTAACGGCTTTATTTTTTTATTGTAGCATACGATAACTAACCGATTCTTGGCATTCTGTGTTTTGTATACATCACATGCGTGCGCGTGCACGTGTGTTCGACATTCCAAAAGTCGAGAGTATTTTTATCTAGAAACAAGTTTGTTACGTTACTATTAGAATAAATGTGTTTACAACTACAGATATTATACTTGTTTTGGCTTCCGAGTCATCGTCGCGCCTTCTGTGAATTTGTCTCCTTTTAGACACACAATGTATGAAAGACGAAGTCATAATAAGTGTTCGTCCGCATTACGCAAGCTTAAATGATACTTATGGTTGCAGTAATAACCGGGCAAAGTTGAAGTGCTCTGCGGATTATTGTCATTTTGCTATCCCCGAGAAGCTCCTCTCAGAAGTGGATATGAAGTACGCAGACTACTGGTTCAATATGACGGTGTTGATAGTGCTGTATATTGTGTTAAATATTGTCGCCTATATTACGTTAAAAATAAGAGTCAAAAAACGCACTTAGCATCGTGACATGTAATATTGCAGAGTAAAACTCTGCATCAAATTTACAATTATGTACCAAAAAAGACTGATTTATTTTTAATAACGTACGTGGTAAATATATATATATATATATATATATATA